ATTCTTCAAGAAAATAGTATAATCCCTCGCGTTCTTTAGCATTCCCAATCTTCTTCCCCGAATTCAAGTCCTGAAAAATACATAGTGACTCAGTAAAATTAACTTTACAATGCAAATCTTTTGTTAATTTGCTAATAGAAAGAAGATTGCAAGATAAATTTGGGACATGCAACACAGATTTTAATTCAACATCTGGGGTGAGCCTAATAGTCCCAATTCCAACCACCGGTGAGAGTGACCCATCAGCAGTTTTTATTCTAAAATGTCTCGAGCATGGAGAATAAGAATTAAATAATTTTCTACACCCAGTCATGTGATCTGTGGCCCCTGAGTCAATAACCCATTGGCTTACATTACCTGAGCCGGTCAATGCCACTTTAAATTTACCTTTCTCTGCAGTCAACCCAGAAGGCGGTGCACTAGGACTTAATATTTTATATAATTGCTCCACTTGGTCTCGCGTAAGGGAAAGAGAAACTGTATCTGCCAAATGCCCAACCGGTTCTGCCGAATTCCCAGCCGATTCTGCCGAACTCTGGAGCCCAGACGGATTACGCATCTGGACGTCTTCCCGGTGAGTCGGATTCTGTCTACGGTCACTTCGAAACCCAGGTTTTCGGTTTGGTGGCCTGCCGTGCAAGACCCAGCACCGGTCAGTGGAATGGTTCGACCTTTTGCAGTGCTCGCACCAGAAATTGCTCCTTTTTACCCCTTGTGATGCCTCTTGTCCACGGGCTGCCAGTGCCGAATTCTCCTGTGAAGGTTGTTTATGATCTCCAAGCATGACGCGTCGCCGGCTAGCCTCTCTGCGGACTTCTGCAAAAACTTCATCAATCACCGGAGTTGGCTTCATGCCTAACAATCTTCCTCTAACTTCATCTAATTCAGGGACTAATCCGGCCAGGAAGTCAAAGATTCTCTCCTTTTCCACCTGCTTCTTATATTTTTCTGCATCTTTTGGTGTATCCCAATCAATCTGGACAAACATGTCGATCTCTCGCCAAAGCCGTTGCAGTGCGTTATAGTACTGAGTGACATCGAGTTCCCCTTGGTGCAAGTTTCTGGCTTTGTTTCGGAGCTCGAACAGTTGAGCAGAGTTCTCAAGGTCTGAAAACGCCATCGTAAGTGCATCCCAAAGCTCCTTTGCAGTCGAGTAATACAAGTAAGACTCCCTAATCTCTTCCTCCATTGAATTAACTATCCATGTCATCACCATGGAATTCTGTGCATCCCAAGTAGGGTAAGTTGGATCATCTTCATCTGGTCTTCTCGTAGTTCCAGTGACGTACCCAAGGCGTCCTCGACCCCGAATTACCATGAGTGCGGTTCGGGACCATTGAAGGAAATTTT